AACAAAATGTCCCATCCACGGGGCCAACCAAAGCGGTCTCATCAGCTTCTTCGTTCACGTTTGACTATTGTTCACTGTGGTTTGTTGTTGTCTGAAGTAATGAACGTTAGTTGGTGCTCCAGTATAATCGGTACCCCTGAAACTCATCCAGTGAGAAACGTTCCGCGGTGCAAAAATAAGTGCGATTAAAATGCGTTAATTTTTTTAACGCGTTAATTTTTGTGTAATTAATTAATCTTAATTAACGCGTTAAAGTCCCGGCCCTAATATATATATATAATATGTGGAAGTTTAGTAGCATGACAGTGGGGGTGAGCTTAGCTCTGATATATTTTGTTGACCGTATGATTCTGTTTGTTTATTCTTTTGCGTTAAAGTATTAAATATCTTTAAAACGTTGAGTTCAGTACAGACTTTATTATTCATACCCGTCACATCAATGAGTGAAGCTTAGCCTCAGAGCGGCCGTATTCAATGGGAATATAGCCGCCACACTAACCCTAACCCTAACCCTTTAACATAAAGAGATGAACGTAGCACTGACAGATATCAAGGTAACGCTCCTGAACCCTAACCCTAAGCTGTGTGTCTGCAGAACATCAGAACCAGAACTCTTCAGGGCGTTGGATTGGGTTTGTCTTTCGGCAAAGTGCCCGGCGCCCTCTGTAATAAATACATGCTCATCGACGGGGACAAAGTGGCGTTTGGCTCCTACAGGTGAGGTCTGACTTCAACACTTATACAGCTCTTGTGTAAAGTGTCCCAGAGTGTTAAGCATTCTGAATATGAAAGGGATAATCTGCAGCGAGGCGGTCATGAAGAGAAACAGAACCACCAACAGGAGGTAATTGAGACCCGGATGAGAAACTGACATTACACCTGATTCATGTTTTCTGTGAATGTCCCAGTCTGTCCACATTTAAACTTCTTTAAACACTGAGTCCATACCCGTCCTCCTTAGCAAAGGGCCTGTTAACAACCTCCGACATTTTTCATTTAAAAGCAAAGATACATGAGTCACAGTCACAGAGCAGTGTGAGATACACACATCTGAAATGTTGAGCTCTGACTCTCAATCATTGCTAACCTTTTAGCAGAAATGTTTTTCACTTTCTTTCTACTTTATTTTTTAACTTATCATTTAGTTATTTCAAGTGTTTCATGCTAAACGAACCCCCCCTTTGGAAAATGATAATCTGACCCCATGGTACTTTTTAGTTTTCGCCAAAACTATCCTTCTCTTTCCTTTGCACATTAGTTAAGTTGACCTCGTCTTATAGGACTTTAGCTGATAACTGTTGTACCCTCCGTCTCTGTCTCAGTTTCTCGTGGTGTACGTCTCGTATCGACCGGAACATGATCACGGTGATGACGGGGCAGGTGGTGGACTCCTTCGATCAGGATTTCCGAGAGCTTTACGCCGTCTCCGACAAGCTGGATCTCTACAAGGAGTTCCACGTTACCAAACCGGCTATCAACGCCACCCTACGCTCCAAAGTGGTTCCCAAACGCCCGCCTCTACCGGCGACAACCTCCCGATTCCAGGTCAGTATAGGGGACTCGCGCAATGCTACAATCAAGGTTCCTGCACACAAGTACTACAACCCCAAATACGCACTGGCGTTCGGGGACATCAAACGTCCAACAGGGTCTCTCCAAGAACCAGGACCCAAGAGACTGTTAGCTCTGCCGGATGATCTTGATGAGATGGGAGTTGGAAGACCACGAGTGACCAGCAGCGAGAGGATGGACCGTCTGAGTCCCCTGCCCTCTGAGGATCCTGGAGACAGCTTCAAGAGTACAAACGGACTCCAGCAGCAGGACAAGAAGGGGTGGGGCGGGTGGAAGTGGAAGTTCTTCAGGAGGAAATTGTCCAATAGGAATATTTTGGATACCAAAATTGGGGACCCTATCAGCTCCGACCCCTCAGAGAGCAACAGGACGGACGAGAACGAGGACATCGTGAAGTCTCCGTCCAACAGGAGGGTGACTAAACTGGGCCTGAGGACAAACTCCAGGCAGTCCGTCAACACCACACAGGACAACGAGAGTAAGTCAGGAACAATGGAAAATATAAAGTTTGAATCCAGAATGAGCAAATAACCTTATCCAGTGGTTCCCAACTACAACCACAGCAGCATAATCCGTCTTTTTACGGGTTTATTAGACCCGTCGGTCTCCAAATCCACCTTAACATAAAGACATTATTAATAACAAAACATAGGACAATGTGACATACACAATACACAGCATGCAAGATAACTTGTAAAATACTTAGATGCTAAGGACTTTTACTTGGAAAAGAGTACTTTTACACTGTACTATTGTGACTAACTTAAAGGAAACATATTCTGCACATAAACCTATATAACACTACAGGAAATAGAAAACCTCAAATAGGGCGTGTTCCACCTCTAGTCACAGGAAGCCTTATCTTAGTTTTAAGTGTAATACGCCCAAAGATTTGGAAAACCAGTTGTCTGATGTTGTCCTATACAAAATGAACCCGTCTAGTATTTTGTAGAAACTGATTAATTCTACATGCTCATACCTCCTATCTCTTTCTAACTATGCTTTTGTTTTTTGTTTTTATTCAGGTGTTAAGAGTCACGGTGGAAAGAAAGTTTGTAAAGTGTCCTGAGGAGAACCTGCTGCTGTCTGACCACAAAATGAACCACATCTTTTTGAAAAACGGATTACAAATGGACTTTTGTAACACTGACGTCACCTTAAACTGTGCAATACAAGTGCTTTATCCAGTGCCTTACAGAGAGACCACATGAATGTACGGTTCTTAGTGCACGGACACATTTGGAGATGGTGCCAAATATATAATATTGACTCCAAAATCAATATGCTAAAGCAGTGGTTCTCAACTGGTCAGGCCTCGGGACCCACTTTTTACTTGGTCAATACATCGTGACCCAACATTTTGAAGCACTCAAATCTATTCAACAAAAAATCGTGCTGTAATCTATACGCTTTTCAGCATACGATATTAATTAAAGTGAAGTACAGTGCTTATATCCCTTCACAGAACTAAAGTATGCTTTAAAAAAGGTTTAATTGATGATGGAATCAAAGCTGAACTGTATAACATAAAAAGGCACACATCCTGAAAACCCAACCCCAGAAGGGGGGTCTCGGGGAATTGTCCCCCAGGAGATTTAGAAATACTAACATATAAACTACGCATTCTGGTACACTCTGAGAAGAAAATAAATAAATCTATTACTACCCGACATATTAATAATATTTTATGCCATTGTTTGTTTTTCACTTTGTTCTGACATCTTGCTGCGAGAAGAGTAAAGAGGAGAAAGTCTGTGTGAATTACTTTAAATAGTGGGTAAGGGTAGATAGCTCCCATTGTTCTGTGACCTGTCAATCATCAAACCGGGGGTCATATTTCATTATGTGTTCATTTCTGTCTGAAGTTGTACCCATGGATGTAGAAAGAATAGTTCTACCGCAAAGTTATTCTCCGTGGGGACTTCCGGCTATAATCTTGATTCTGATTGGCCAGAAGACTCGAAAAAACATCAGCAAAGATGTTTTATTGAGAAGATAATCACTACGTGACTACTGGTCTCCGGTACTTCCAGTCCAACACCTACTGCATGCAGCGTTAGAAAATTGGGCCTTCAAATAAAAGTTTGACTTTTTTCCCCCCAAA